TCTCTTTAATCCTATAAGGATTAATAAGATTGTTTGACTTCAAACCTTTATGTTCTCACATTTACCTTATTATTTATATTTCCGACTTTTTGCTGTTCTCCGGAATAACTAGTTAATCCGCGCCGAGAATTGCAACCCTGGCCCTGGTGGCAGCGGAAAGGATACGTCACGCTAGGGATGGCATAAGTATGGTTTTAGGAAGACCAATATTATATATGTATAAAATATGGGTTCTAGACCAATATTATTTATTATATTGGGTATTTTTAGATATTTTTACTAATTAGGCTAGAACCTGCTCCCAACCAATAAAATTAGCTGAAACGTGTCACGTGCAGACAGAATTTCGCACGATGGTTCAAACTTCTCTTTCTTAATATTATTAATTAATCAGGAAGCCATCCACAACAATGCAACCATGCCACCTTCAACTAATCGGAATGCCTCGCACGCTGATCGCTATACGTCTAAGCAATTCACGATAATTTATCCTACAGCTGGTTGCGGGTTTCGAACGCCTAAGGGCCAGTGCAAGCACTGCACCAGTAAACCCAAGTCCTGGAATCCAATACTCCATCAAGCACCTCATTTACTCGATTGCAAGGGATATAAACAATGGCTAAAGGATAATGGTACAGATTCGGTATCTGTGACCAAGAAACAGCCTACTTTGAACGATTGGTTTGCCACGACAGACTCCACTGCAGAGAAGCTTTTTGCACTCGCAATCTACACTTCAACTTGTAGCTTCTCCACCTTCGAAACTCCTGAATGGAAAGCCTTCTTTACAAAGCTTAATTTCAAAGCTCCTGGACGTAAAGCTTTTGCTGGGAACCTCCTTACTCGTTGCTACGAAAAACTCAAAGCAGTCGTTTACGGTGTGGCCGATGCGGCATCCCACATTCAAATTATCACCGATAGCTCGTCGAATATTGGAAAATAACGCGTCGAAAATACATCCTTCTTGGTTGGTGGCATATCATATTATTGGAGTTCAGTAGCTATTGGAGCAGTCAAAGCAGGAGCGGACTGGACAGTGGATAATGTGATCAAGGGTACCAATGAGATTACTAGAAACTCGCTCTATCGATGGACGTCTTTCTCATCTGATACTTGTAATATACAGCGGAAAGTATGGAAGGTCTTGAGCGTACGCCCTGTTTGTAAATACGTTCTCTCTATACCATGCGATTCCCATGGTATTCAACTTATCTTTAAAGATCTTCTCTTCCCCGGTAAAGCCGACGATGGTTCGCAAATTATTACTGCAATTGGTAAGTTCTTTAAAGACTTCTCTAATAAGATCGTCTCCTTCTTCTCCTCCTCCGATAAACAACTAGCCTATTTACGAGAAGCTATGGTTGCACATGGTGGAATCGTTGCTTTGATTACTACGGTACCAACTCGCTGGGGCACTCAAGTACGTCAAATCGCATCTATTAACAAGTCCTCCGAAGCCCTCAAATCGTACGCCGAACGCCCTGATGACGATAAATCAAAGCCTATTTCGATTAAGCCTCTGCTCCATAAGACAAACGAAGCATGGCAGCAGAGTCGAGCTTTGGAGGTTCTCCTTGAGCCTATTCACACATGGCAAAAGATGTCCGAATCGAATAACTCCACGCTTGGGAAGGTCTATACACGGTGGCTACAATTGAATGAGCATCTCCAGAGGTTCAGAAGACAGGGTACTGGCATATGGGCGGAGGAAATCAATAATTACTGCTCTCGCAAAGGCAGAGGTGGATGGAACGATCGAATCAATCAATAAGTTCTTCCCATCCATCTAGCGGCCTATATACTCCTTCCGGCGAACCACAATGCCTTCCTGACGCCCGAAATTCAGAAGCAAGCGGACGATTGGATAATGGAGAAGACAGGTCCAAAAGGGTTCCATTAATGGTATCAATATCGCAAGAAGCAAGGGAGCTTTGGGCCATTGAATAATTATTGGGTACACTTTGCAGAAAATCCGATCGCTTTTTGGGAAATCTCAGTAAGATATTTTAAATATATCTATATCTTTTACTAATTTTTTACAGGTTACCCTTTCTCCAGAGCTTTCCAAGCTAGCCCTCGATTTATGCCATACCACTGCGAATTCAGTAGCCTCTGAACGAGCCTTTTCCACTATGAACTTCCTATAATCGAAGATGCGAAATTGACTATTAATCGAGATAATGAATATGCTCTGCTTTATTTATATTAATACACGATCAATTCGTTCAGTAATAAAGCATAAGAATATGGACAAGGAAGCGGCATTACTTACGGAGTTAATGGCGGAGATACTATTGAATCAGGAGGACGATATAGTAGTAATAGATGATATTAATGGAGAGGAGGATGAGACTGATATATGGGTTGATATTAATATAATAGATACTTAAATATCTGGAGTTTTATTCCTCTCTTCAAGCTTTTTTCCCTTAATTTCTTGCACTAATATTACATAAACACCATAATATTAGTATAAAAATTATGCATATAATATTGGCTAGACCAATATTATATACGTATATTGGGTATTTTTTTCCAACCCTACGTCACGCTGACCGACAGATCAATCAAAAAAATGATGGAAATTGTGAGAATATTTGAGAATATAAAGCTTAAGAAGCAGATAAATAATAAAAAGGAAAATGAAGACAGTTTAAGAGATAGAAGATTGCAATAGCTGAATAAAGCATATATTAAAAGACCGAATGCCAGGCTCAATTATATACAGAAAAAGTGGGTTTCGGGCTATTCTAGTAATAAGGAGCCTATTTTGATCACCGGGGGACCTGTTCTGGCTCTCTGTGATCCTGCTCGCTAGGAATTGATATTCTCAACAGTGTACTACCAGGATGGGACCTATCTCAAAGGCACACAGAGAGCACTAACCTTTTCGAGCTGCTGAGGTAGTGAGTAGAGGCGAGGTTGTGGGGGGTGAGCGAAGCGGCGAAGAGTCACGTGTACTATCGCTTGTCGAGCATGCTGAAGTAAGTTAGGATTCAGGTTATATAATATAGAGAGCCCAGTTCAGGAGATCTCTAGAGCCAAAATTGGTGCTTTCCTAGTCGCACAAACTTAAATGATTTGTTGTACAACAACTTGTTGCACAACGACCTGTTATACAACGACTTATTGCACAACTATTTGTCGCATAATAACTTGTTGTACAACCATTTGTTATAGAGTAACTTGTTGCACAGCTACTTGTCGTTAAATAAATTGTTGCACAACGAACTGTTGTATAAGAACTCGTTCCGGATGAAAATTTAAGCTAGGATTTTCAGACCTGGGGCGAGTTACTCAAGAAGGTTGGTAAATTTGCAAGCATAAGTTTAAAAGATAGATAGATGGACAGTTATCAAAATTAATTTCGCGACAATATGCTTTGCAACTACTAATAAAGAAATCCTATTCTCTCAATGATGCTTTCGACAACTTAGGCTTTGGAGCTACACTGGACACGTTTGAATCACTCGAGGACCCCTCTTTAGGTTAAGAATCTACCGCATGAACAAGCTAACATCAATGTACAAGGTAAACGACAGTGAATCAGTGTTTGATCAACCTGATGCTACCTATTACTTAGCATCTAGGCATTTCAAGCAATATCGATCTATGGCAGCTGGCGTTTATATTCCGCCTAGATAGTTCTACAGTATATGAGTATAACCGGCCATCAGGGGAGCCAGAACGAGCCCCGCTGGGTGCTAAAATGGCCTCTCAATTCATGCTGAGGCTGACTCTACCGTGTACTCAGGCTTCTCAGGCGGTGCTCAGGAATGCTTACCCTCAGCTCAGGTTAAAGCGGCCACTGCTCGTGTTCGGACACTAAAACGGAACCAGCGGGGAAAACGGTTGAGTCTGACTTATGTGGTAGCCAGTTAAAGTAAGACAATTTTATGAATCTTTATTTTCATTAATTGCTGCTATAATCTCAGTCGAATCTCCAAAGTCCACTTCTGTCTCCAAACCTGAGCAATCGCTGCTCTAACCTGAGCTAAGCCCTGAGCCCCTGAGCATACTCGTGAGTTAGCTGGATTATGCTCAGGGGGATCCTTTCTAGCTCCCTCGAGAGTCGGTTATAGTTTCTATATTATCTATATATAAAATTTTATAAATCTTGCTACTTGCAGCATAGCCAACTCGCTGAGTCTATAACATATCGTAATGGTTGCCGTTCTCGGTCCCTTGTTACATATATCAAGGGTCCTTGTCGGAGCCGATTTGGGTCCCCTCTTAACAGAAGGGCCCTTGCTTAATACCCCTCGAAACCTCTCCTCAACTCTTCTCAAACAACCTAGCTCGTATACAAGTGTACGACTTCAATTTTCTAAGAGCCTATTTAACCTGGATAATACAAGAATTCGCGCGCGAGAAAATGATTTTACATAGTTATTTAAAAAGGTCTTCTCAGGAGCGAAGCTGTAGTAAGCAAGGGGAATACAATGCCCTGGCGCCTTGATTAGGCCATATCGGCACACATCCGCAGCTTAAGAAGAGCAGGCGTGCTTCGTAGACGAATTCAGGCAGACTTATCTTGGCGATTGTTGATCGAAGAGAAGCTAGTTGGCTACCCTGCTTGCTGACCGCCATGAGATCCATATAGCGGCGATGTTGCATCAAGCAGGATTTATCAAAAGGTTTGGGAAACTAATACGGATCCTAGCAAGGCAGGATTGCACTAACGTTGGCACCCTAGCCTTACTGACAAAGGATTAACTGAGTGAAGGGAGAGACATGGAACGGCGATGCCGCGTCAAGTGGCTTTAGGAGATTTATGCGGATCCTAGCAGGCAGAATTGCACCAACCGCCTGAGAGCTATACAGATATGAAATTATATTAGGAGAGAATTATACTCGCGCTCTTTTAAGACTAATAATACATAAGTATATTTTACAGGTATTTTGAGGCTTCTTTTATATAGTAAGGCATCTTATAGGTCTGTAATTTTAATTAGAGTCTCTTTTATAAGTAATAAGTAAGACTTTAATTATAAAGGGTAGTTTTTATAAACAATTTTTGGCTATACTTATTCAGAACAGCCTTTTACAGCTCCGAAATGAAATCAATGCTTTGGAATCAGATCTAAAGCAGGCTTTTACTCTTTGCATTTGCTTCTGCTAATGCGGCCCCTGGTATTAAAATATTAACCTCTAATGTTTACATGACTAATTCTCTTTCTCTAACAACTAGTCAGCTAGAGTGGTTAGGATCCTCTGAGTCCGCATCTATCAGAGCCCTGCTCTCTACATCTACGGCCGCTGGGGCTTCAACCGTCTCGAAGAGCTTATCGTCGTTAAGTACCATCTCGTCCCGATTCCAAACCAAGGACACCAACGCCGCTCCAGGCCCGGCAACAAACGCGATGCCGAATATCTCGCCCGCAAGCCACAGCCAACTTTCCAACGACATAGCTTGCTTACGTGCCTTGATGCGCAGTGCGACGGCCCACACAATCGCAGCGGTGGAGCCAACATATTGGTCATACTGGAAGAAGTTGAGGATACCGACCGCCATGTTGGGCATTGGGGCTCGGGACCAGAATGGCGGCGGGATAAACACACTTTTGAGCGTCAAGGCCGTGAGGATGTGGGAGGGGAATAAAGAGGGGAACAGCTTGCAGCTCGCGAGGATGGAGAAGGTGGTGATGTTCGTGGATGCCGAGACGGCGAAGGCGAAGAGGTAGGCTCGGTGCAGGGTCATCTCTTCGTCGATGCGAGCGGCATAGGAGCGCGTTCCGGTGCCGTTTGCCGTTGTTGTATCCGGCGGCTTGGGTTCATTGGATTTATTTGCTCTTCGGGAACGGACGACTTTGATTCCGTAGTGAATCAGAGAAACCCAGACTGGGTATCCTTGCCACAATCCGCCTAGCCACTGGTGCAGAACGTGGGAGCGGAATGGGATGGCCATCAGAACGGTTGGTATGATATAGCCAAGAATCATTGAAGGGACAAGACCTTCCAACAAATCCGTGGACTGTAGGCGGATCTTCTGCGCCACGGCGGGTGCCATACTGGCGGCGGTGGGGGAGCAGAGAAGATGCACGATAGCATAAATAGGCATCGTGAAGCCATATCCTAAACCTTGTGTTGCACAGCCCCAAAGCACGGCCCTGCGAAAAGTTAGTAACTCGGTCCGCTAATTTGACCGTGTCTATAAAACTGCCCGACTTACAGCGACATGATGTTCCCCTTGTTTCCACGCCGCGCAGCCTCGATCATCAGAACCGTGTATAATGGCACAAGCTGCCCCGCAAACTGGAAGCCGTACAATGACAACTGAGGCGCCGAGCCGTCTGTGATGTTGGCGAACATCACGCCGGCCAGCACCAGTGCTTTGTCCAGCAAGCCGATGCCCGTAAAGCGCGTCAGGATCGGGATATTGGAGCCCGGAAGGACGTGTGGGCCGTATTCGCGCAGGCGCAGGAGCGCGTCGATGTAGCCATTGCGATACACCAGGCCATACATGCTGTTCACTCCAAAACTACCGATCAGTGACAATGCCAAGATGGAGCGCCGAGTAGTGGGGTCTGGTATCGACATAGCGGCAGCGAGCGGCCTGGTAGGGCTACGATACGCTGTAACTAGCTTCGGTCCTCGTGTCGTGGGGCAGGACAATCACAAAGTGGTGGGATGTGAAAAGGCAGGTTGGAGAGACGAGAAGGCAAGGGAGGCGAAGAGGAGAGGACGAGGAGGAGGAGGGATGTGGGATGTCGTCTTCGATAGCTGTGATGTTGTTTGCTTGGGGAATTCACTGCGTAGGTCTGAGGCTCCAAAGGCGAGCCGCAGCTGATCGCCGGGGTTTCGCTGTGTAACAACCACGACCTTACCCACGAAAAGCGAGAAGCTCCAGGTGGTCTTCGGCATTGGGTGCTGATCCCTGCTACGAAAGAGGCTGGAACAGATTGGCTCACCGAGCAAGCGCTGCCTGCCCGCCTCTTGTTGCGAAAGCACTGTAGCCGGGCGTCTGGGTCGTACAAGCAAGATCGATGGCTGGAGCAGAAGACGCGGCCTCCCGCCAGTGCAGGCGTTTCACTGCCTGATACTGGTAGCTCCAGTTAGAAACCTGCACGCAATCACGGCCCGTGATTCACAGGCCGTTGCAGGACTCCACCCAGAGCTGCCTGACTGTACCTTACGCTGCATGTGAGCCAAACTAGCAGTACATTCCTCAACAGTCCACGACCTGGCCGCATCTATGCCACACAACACTCAAGATGCCGCTATTCGCACGCCCTGTTTATGTGCGTGGGCGTGGGTGTGGCAATAAGCGATCAGCGCTCAATGTCTGGATGGATTCAGTGATGGCTGCAGCAGTGTAGCCTCCTCCAGAGTTGGAGGTATATTTGTCGACATCTGATCTTCAGAACGATGACCACGCTTACACATTCCTCACTGCTCACGAACCACGATGCTGATTCTGCAAGCCATTTGCGTTGGTGCTGTCATCCTTGGCTGCTGCTGGATCAAAGTGACAAAGGCGGTCCCCGGCGCTCCATTTAGTCTGCCTAAAGGACCACAGCCTTTTCCATTCTTCGGAAATCTCTGGACCATCTACACTCTCAATTCAAGTCCCCGGGAGCTATGCCGCCGCTTCAAAGCTCAGTACGGAGACATGACCACAGTATGGATGGGGTCATGGCCGACCGTCTTCCTCAACAGTCCTCAGGTTGCGCATGAACTTTTGCACAAGGTTTTGTTGTACACCAAGGTCGAGTCTTCCAATCTCATGCTGACCATTCAGGCTGGAGCCCCATACACAGCGTCGAGGCCCATGCACAATCGTGTCCGTCATGAGAAGTTGCCTGACAGGATTGTTGTTAGTCCGGCAAATCTTGACTTTCGAGAGCAGCGTAAGATGTATAATACCATATTGTCCAAACCAGCTTCGGCTGCTTTTCACAAAAGTTCCGACCTCGAATCGTTGCTTATGCTCGAGTATCTCATTAATGAATCATCCAGCTTCTTATTTCATTGCGAGCGATTTGCAGTCAACGTTGTTTTTCAGGTTATGTATGGTCGTCGACTGGGCCGTGAGGAGGACCACGAGATTGCCGCTTTATACGAGATTTGGAAGAAAATGTATTTATGTATGCACGCCCTGATCATTAATGTTCCTTTCATTAATAGTGATTTGTACTAGACTTTCTCCCAGGCGCCTGCATATTTGACGTTTTCCCGGTTCTTCTGAGATTACCACAGTGGTTACAGCCTTGGAATTGGATTTTCTCAATTCTCAAGCGGAGAGAAGCCTCAATTGAGAGGAAGTACTTTGAGGAAGTGAAGCGGGAGGCTGCAGCCTTCCAAAACCTTGACTGTTTTGCAAACAAGCTTCGAGAGGTATGGGAAGAGCATTACCATTACATCTTTGGATGTCAGCTGATTACCTGCTCCAGAAGAAAGGATCTGATAGCGCTGACGATGAGGTGAGTATGAATATGCTTGCAATGCTTCTAGGTGCTGGATCAGATACCACCAGTGCAATGATGCAGCTTTTCTTTAAGTCGATGGCTTTGCATCCTGAGAAAGTGGCTATGGCCCATGCAGGTATTTCGCCTTGCCTTCGCCCACAATTTTTGAGTCTGACATGACTCTAGAGCTTGACAACGTCGTCGGCTCCAAGCGTCTGCCTGTCTACGAGGATGCCCAGAATCTGCCTTATATTTGCGCTTTAATCAAAGAGGTCCATCGATGGGCACCAATTGCAGTTGTAGGTATGTATAGATAGGTTTTTCTGAAGGTATTTAGATTGATACAGTTATAGGCATTCCACACGCAACCACGAAAGTCTTGAGTTATCGAGGCTACACATTTCCTACCGGTACTATCTTGTTCCCCAACATTCCGGCCCTGAATATGGACGATAGACAATATGCAGATCCATGCACCTTTGAACCGCTTCGCTTCATAGAAGACGGTCAAGATTCTGTATCTTCGGCTCGGTCTAATAGTTACGAAGACCGTGATCACTTCAACTATGGGTTTGGACGCCGCTTCTGCCCTGGGGTTCATGTTGCCGAACATGCTATCTTCATAGCTGTATCGCGCATTCTCTGGGCTTTCAACCTTGAGCAGATTCCAGGCTGCCAGATTCACATGCATGAAGAAAGACGTATGCTACCTCTTGAAGCTCAAAATTGGTGAAAAGGCTGACCACAATTCAGGCGGGCTCTTGAAAAAACCTAAACCATTCAAGATGTCCATTGCTCCAAGAAATCAGCAAAAGTCAGCTCTCATTCTTAGACAAATCAGAAGAGAGAAAGGTCACATGGGGTTAGATGGTAGCAGGGAGATGGCTTATGCGGACCTTAATTGGGTGTAAGGTGAAGAAGTGACACCGTTTTCAATTCACACACCGGTTTCAACGTAGCAAAAGCAAAAGCCTTATGGCCCCCATAATAATTTTTTTCCGGCCAAGGTTTGCCGCTTGCATGAGCGCCAAGAATTAATTACCAGACTTTCAGCCTCAGCTGCTACCACCCGCCGGGTGGCTGAGAGGTGTTTCATCCCACGATGTCAAGACGGCTCGTCAGCCTTACATTCTTGCTTTTACCACGCGGCCACCAGGTAGAGGCCCCGGATCATTACCTTTTGGGGTCACATCAGACTTCAAGGCTCTCAGAATAGCTGTCAGTGCGGCGCTTTAGCCTGTCACTCGTAGGGGCTAACCCTCGCCACGAAAAGCAGCCCAATGACAACTTCAGAATCATGCAAGCCACCATCCATCACGATCTGCTCTTCTTCAATCGATTCCGTCGGGACCGATACCTAGCGGTGGCAAACGCTGGGTGAGACCGGCCATTAGGCAAGTATGATATAAATGTAGAGAAAGAGTTCGCTGCAGACATGAATTTTTTTTTCAAACTCTTTCACAAACTAAACCGCTTGTTTTCAAGGTTTTCAAGCACCGAATGTCACTTCTTCAAAATGCAACGATTGCAGATACTAGCAAGCTTGGATGGGTTAGGCAACCAAATCACCGTGGAACCATCGACATCATCTGGGCCTGCCTTCTCCTCATATTCATCAGCACCTGGACGGTCCTCCACATCAATTTGCCAGCGCCAGGAGAAAGTTACTGGAGCATACAGCTCCGGAAAGCACGCTGGTCAGCGTTTCTGCTATACGCTCCGGAAGTGATGACCATGATAGCAGCTTGCCAGCGAGCATCTGCGCGAACGTCCGTAGAGAACATGCATGCTCTAGGTGCCAAACACTGGACAGTCGTCCATGGGCTCTTCGCAGAGAGTGGCGGTTTCGTCCTGCATTCTCCTGACATGCCTCCTTTCCCCATCAACAATCGTGCCATATACTATCTGGCTGGTAAAAGTTATATTGAGGTACCGTCGGTGACGAAGGATGAGATTCAAGACCACAGCAAGAAGGATCGAGTTGCGAAGGTGGTAGCAATCGTTCAAGGCACATACATGATCGCTCAGTGCATCGCAAGAGCCATCCAGCACATGCAGATCAGCAATCTCGAGCTGGTGACAGTGGCCTTTGTTGGCTGCACATGCGTTACCTTTTTCCTCTGGATCGACAAGCCTTGCGGTGTCGAGAAAGCCATCGATATCTTCACTACCGTTCATATCAGGACAATAATCGTTGCAGCTGGAGATGTTGCCGCCGCACCGTATGGCGATACGCCCCTGGATTTTGTCGAGCAGCCTGGGTGGCAGCAATGGAGACGAAGAGAAAGGTTCCGGAAGGTCGGGATTCCAGTTAGACCTCTCGAGCGGATTCCCAACGACTACGTCGTGCCACCGCTGACTCTCCGGCTTGCCGTGCCTCTCTGGGGCTTGACCGTACTGCACGCCGCGACCCACATTCTTGCTTGGGACTTCCCATTCCCAACAACCTTCGAGCTGTGGCTTTGGCGTGCCGCCAGCCTGGCTATGACGGCAGTCATGATCGTCTGGGGGTTTGCGGAAGTCTTGTCTGTCAAGCCGGGATTCGACTACACGATGACGTTGTTGGGGATTTGGGAGAAGAGAGCTAGCAAGGACACCTTTTTTCGCAACTGGGCTGTTGATGGGCCGGGAACGTGCAGTGCGATACTTTACGGCATCGCTAGAACAATAATCATTATTGAAACATTTGCAAGTTTGCGGCTAATGGATGCTTCGGCATATGATACTGTAAATTGGACGCAATTTCTACCACATGTGTAGGTAAAGTTGGTTAATAAAAAATATATAATTTTTTTTTTCTGAAATGGGGATTTTGAAATCTTTTATCTCGCATCGTTGGTAGGTTATGTGTTCGACCTTGCTATTCTGCTATGCGTTGTATGTTGTCAATGTCTCCAGCGGGCTAACAGCCTAATAGCATTGGAGGACCACATCGCGGGTTCAAATATGTCAGAACAAGGATGGCTGGCCAAGAGATTGAGATTCTCATGGATAAGAGTCCCCAGCTCACGGAGTGCTACGAAGGACGCAGAATGTCTGCGATCTCTGGCATTCTATTCTCGTAGTCTCGTGCTGCCACCCCTTATTAATCCCACTATGGCCCCCACCCCCACCATAGACAAAGGGCATTTAGCCTCTGGGTGCCTCGAATTGGGTAAGATCCGCGGACCGCGCGACAAGGGAGTCGCTCCCCCGAGCCAAATGAGGCTGCATGCATATATGCACATGGCCGATTGTGGGCTTCCTCATGAGACATTGGCTGCTTGATATAACCGAAGTCCCTATCAAAAGCACGACCCCACCAAAAGCACGTTTTACATAAAAATAGTTTAATTAATTAAAGAATAACCACTTTATAAAATGATCTAATTTTTTAAATATAGGATCTTTCAAATAGTTAGAATATACTTTGTATATTATATAATCAAAATACTTAATACTTCTTAATATAATAAGCTTTTTCTTATTTTAGTTATATATAATAAATACTAATATAATTTTTATATTATATAATATTATAAAGTAAAAAAATTCTAGATTTACTATTTTATAATATTATAATTAAGATATATATTAAAATTATATATATTATAAGTATAAAAGGCTTAATTATAAAACTAATAATTTAAAATTTTAAAATTTTAATTTTTTTAATTTTTAATTTTAAATAAAAAAGTATTTATAAGATATAAAAATAAGATATAAAGTTATATATAATATCTTATATAAGAACTGATATTTTAAATATAAAAATCATAATTATTAAAGCTTTATATAAATAAATATAATAAATATATATATTATTAATTACTTAATATCGAATTTATAAATATTATATTAATATATATAAGAATCTCTTTATTATTTTTATTTAATTATGTCTTAAAGTTATATTTATAATAAAAAGTTTATACTATTTTTATTAATATCTTATAAATTAATAATAATTAAGAGATTTATATATTAAATAATTAAAAAAAGCTTATATAAAATTATAATAAAGATATTACTTAAAGAATATTTAAATAAAATCTATTAAAATAAATATTAGCTTAAAGAAATCATAATTATTATATAAGATTATTAATAAAGTTAATATTATTAGTTTTTTATAATATCTTAAAATACGATATTTTCAAAATTATAAAATTAAATATATAAAGAGCTTTTAATAAAGATTAACTAATAAATAGATATCTTATATATAATATTAGAAATAAAATTAATAATTTTTATTATATATACTTTATTAGCTTTTATTTTATAAAAAGTTTTTTAAAAAAAATATTTTTGTAAAAAAATTAACTTAAACTTGGATTTTATTTAGAAATAATAGGTTTTAATAAATTATTTCTATATATTTTAAGTTACTATAACAAATAAAATATAACTTATATAATTTTATATTATTTTTTATATTTATTATTAAAATATATTAAAAGTTAATAAATTAAATAAAATATATATCTTTTGAAATATTTTCTTTAATTATACAAAATACTTTATTATTATTTTATTTTATTATTTTATTATATATATAGAGCTCATATATGAAATATTATATAAAACGGATTTATAGTTATCTAATTATTAAGAAATAAAAAATTCGCTAAATCGTGCTTTTGGTGGGGTCGTGCTTTTGGTAGGGAGTTCGGTTACGCCTTCCAAGCGGGTTAGGTCCTTCCACCTCCCGAGCGGTTAAGGCTCAAACACGATAAGGCGACCACACAAACCTTGCCTGCGCGGAAGGATCCTACCTGTGCAGCTCCTTTACAGCTATCCCATCACTTCATCCAAACAAGCCAACAAAGGAAGCTCGCGAGACAAAACTGCTATGCGTTATATTATCTAATACACGGCCTAAGAAACTCCTACCACGAGGCTGTTATCTTACCAGACTTGTGCTTCGATTCTACTGGTTTCCTATCCGAGACTTCGGACTACCGCAGCTTCTGCTGTGTCGACACCATGTCTCATCATTCGCACTTTCGAGACTTCATCACTGTAAATTATATTCTTGAATGCCTGTTCAAGTAGAGCCTACAAGTTTGATTCTCGTATACTAACCCTGCTCCAACTGTAGTTCCTAAGTACGATCAGTGGTGATATTGCCAATGTGACCGCACCGCCATTCTTTCTCGCCCCGGTTTCTGTCGTTGAAGTAGGCTCTTGTTGGACCGAACGACCTTTAGTATTTATATCCGCCACACGCGAGACTGATCCGGAAACTCGGGCTCTGCGGGTGCTTCAATGGATCCTGTGCTCCCTGAGATCTCAATTCTACATAGGCCAAGGGGATAAGGCTGGCTTGAAAAAGCCTCTCAATGCTTTTCTGGGTGAGATATTTCAAGGTCAATGGACCGACGGCACTTCCACGGCTAGGATGATCTGTGAGCAAGTCAGGTAAGCCTGATCCTCCTGCTAGCTGCTTTTCACAGTGAAAAAATACACCTTGCAATTTAAAAGGACTAATCGATAAGTAGTCACCACCCCCCTATCACAGCATGTTATATGTGGGATGATGAGCACCAGATTCGAGTAAGAGTGTTTGAGATTCCATAGCAATGTGCTTGAAGCTGACAATTCAATAGGGAGAAGGCTACACTAGAGTTGAAATGAACTTCTCAGGCAATCTGAACATCAAGCAAACAGGCCACGCAATAGTCCACTTGGACAAGTACAATGAGCATTATTTGGTCCCCATGCCGAACTGCAAGGTCCGAGGTTTTCTCTCCGCCAGCCTATATCCGGAAATCTACGGAACGTACTACCTCACCTCATCCACAGGCTTCACCTCGCAAATCACGTTCTCCGGCAAAGGGTTCTTCTCAGGGGCCCGGAACAGCTTCGAAGCTAAACTATACCGAACGGATGACGAGAAGAAGGAGCCGCTATACACGGCACGCGGGCAATGGAGCGACCGCTTCGTCATCATGGACACCAGAGGCATCAAAGAACCTATTATCTGCGAACCTGGCGCGGTTCCAGCCTCCAAGCTTGAAGTCGCACCTCTGGAGGCCCAGGATGCGTGGGAGACGCGCAAGGCATGGCAACACGTCCTTGCCGCATTGAGAGGAAACGACATGCAAGGCATCGTGAAGGAGAAAACAAAAGTGGAAGAGGCACAACGAGCGATGCGCAGGGAAGAGGCTGCTGCAGGAAAGGTGTGGGAGCCGAAGTTCTTCTCTTCGTCGGAGGACAGTCCGCTTTTCCATGAGCTTGCTGCAGGCACACCTTGGGCGCTGGAGGCGGAGCGCACGAAAGGCGTGTGGACCTTTGACCAAGAGAAATCGAAGACCGCTGTGAAGCCATATCATGGTGAATTGACTCCGTTGGGAGTACTGAAGGGAGCGGATGAAAGCTCGTAAGGTGTAGGTTCTATGGTTGTGCCCCTTTTTCTAAGCGAGACCGCAGCAAAGTCTCGATAAAGCCAGTTTTCTTTCACCGGTAGGTACATAAAGCATCTTGTTCGGAATATAAAGGCCACGACTGGATATTAGCGTGCTCGTCCCAGCTATCCAATCAAACAAAAATGGCATCAAATACTCGTCATCGTGCTCGGATATTAGCATCCGCGCACCCCCCTCCCCCAATTCCAGTCCCCTTAGTAGAGCATACGCCATTGCTCGTCGTACACTTAGGGCCTGGGTCTGCGACGACTCAACACCTCCTCGTGTACTTTCCTACAGTACCAAGTATCTATTCTTGGTGACCAAACAGTATATCTCTACGAACTCAATATCCACGAGCCCGTGATCCTCAACTCCACGGTTTTCACAGCGCTCAAAACCTCATCGCATCGCCACTTCTTCGTCGAGGATATGAACCATGCCCACTAAGTCTCTCTATTCTCTGGGGATTGTCCTCTGCAAACACAGAACATTCCCATGCGGGGAGACGGTCGTCCCCATTGCTGGCCGGTGGCGTCTGGAGGCATTCCAGTTGAAGGTTGGCTGATGAGTCGATGATCCGTGAGTGTGCAAAAGCGCTTCGAACATTCAAGTTTTCGAAGGACCTTCCCTCTTTGCAAGCAACTCCGCCTTCTTCGCTTGCAACGCAGCCTTCTCTTCCTTGAGCGCTCGAATCCGCTCCGACTCTGCAATTTGAGCATCGATTCTGCTCTCTTCGGCTTCAATTCTCCTCAACTCATCCTCTACCTCGTTCTTGGAGAGAACAGGGACTTCCTGTGCTTTTGCATGTGCCCCATTTTCGGCGTCTATGGGTGACCCTTCAGAGTGCCACGGTGCATTGGCCCAGCTGGGGGATGTTGTACTGGCAGGTGCGGCATGTCTCGGGATTGCAGATGCAAAGGCCTTGGGTTGTGAAGCTGAGCTGACATTTGGTGTTGCTGGGCTTGTTGATAGTTCCGCTGCCGTCAAGATTCCAGGAGCTGGATGCGATTTAGAGAATGTGGAGCTTCCTAGTTCGGCTGGAAAGTGGTTGATGACGCGAGTTCGGATGCATCAGGGTGAACTTCTTGCACGGACATTGACGAGTTGTCATGCTCATGTTTTGTGGGCGGTGTGCCGACTTCGAGCCCCTCAGGACTGAGATCGAGAGGAGCTTTCGGAGCAAGATTTCGTCTTCGGCGCCAGAGAAGGAAGGCCGCCAGCATGATAGCAACAACGATGAAGATTAGGCCTACAGCAATTCCTGCTTTAGCACCGGTAGAGAGTCCTGTGCTAGTTTGGCCACGGGAGTCGGAAGTATCGGTATTGGATGAGGCCGTTGAACTTGTTCCCGAGGAAAATGTGGGCAACCCTTGAGTAGACCCAGTTTTGGTCTTCGACCCGCTACTTGAACTTGTGACAGCTACAGCCTGTAAGAGTGTCGAGAGCTTCACGTCACCGTGAACCAACCACCCGCCGGAGGTAAAGGTGGGACAGGCGGGTATTGAAACTTTGCGGTCATAGCTGGTGATCGGCGTTCCAGTTGGGTTCAAAGTCGCCCATTGGCTTTGGAGATTTGTGAAGTCCGGAGCCTTTGGCTTTGGCGTCCCGCTTGTCGCACTGGAAGCGCCGTATGAGCCAATACCATAATCGTTTGCTTCCATGCTCCATTCATAGATAATTGCTCCCGACCATTCACCATTCATCTGAGGCCCGAAAACTGCGGCTTGGTCCTTGAACAAGCGAGGTGGATTTAAGTTGCATCCAGTCTCAAAGAAGAAAATCGGAACAGGGTATCCAGAGGCATTTGCGTAGACATTATTGTATCCCGACGTGGTGAACGATGACGGATCGCACCCAGAGTACTGATTTTGCCCGAAAAAGTCGATAGAATCAGAGCCGCAAGCTAAATATTTTTGGAGATACGGACTCAGAGCAAAATTTTTAAAGAATTTCGAAAATTAATATTATATAAAGAAAATAGTATTTATTATAATTTTTTAATAATTATAAAAAATAATACTAGTTTAATAATATTTTAAAAGCAAATTTTAAACTTTAGTTTTAGTTCTAATTTCTTTTAGATCTAGAAATTAATAATTATATTATTAATTATATTATTTTAAATACTAGCTAGGTAATTTTAGATATTTAAAAATTAATATATATTAAAATTAGGGCCGAATTAATCTTATAAAAAAAAAGAATTATATTATAAATATTTTTAAATAAAATATTTAATATATTAGTAATAAAATTAGGGCTTAATTATTTATAATAAATAAAAAAGGCTTTAAAAAAGACTTCTTTATAATAGTAGCTATAATAAAAATAATTCTTATAAAAGAATAATTAAAAGACCTAAAATATAATATATTAATAAGAAATTCTTAAAAATTTTAAGAAATATTAGAACTAAATTTAAAGAACTTATATTAATAAAAATACTACTTTTATAATATAAATAATACTTTATAATACTTAAATATTAAATAATACTATTATTTCTTTTTAGAAATATATATTATATTAGTTTTTTATTTAGGAATTAAAAGAAATAAAAAGAGAAAAATAAAAGAAATTTAGCTTATTATAAATATTTAATAGAATTAGAATTAGTAAATAAAGGTATTATATTAGGTACTTGGTTATTTTATTAAGTCTTTTAAATATTAATTCTATTATTATAAAGATATATAAGATTAGATTCTTGTAATTTTTAAAGAAAATTAAAAATAAAAGAAAAATATTTTAGTTTTATATATTATTTTAATATTAAAAAACAAGCTAGCTCTAGCCTTATATAACTAGTTTAGAGAGAAAAGTAAAGTATTATAGTATTTTAATAGTTTTAGAGAACTCTTTTAGTTTATAGATTATAGTATTATTATAATTATAATTTACTTTTATTAGCTAGATTAAGTAAGCTATAATTTTAGATATTTTAGAACTGTTTTTCTTTAGGAAGAATATTTGTAATATATTTCTCTAATAATTAATAATAGTTTTTCCTAAAATATATCTTAATATTAATAACTTTTTTTGTAGTAGTAATATTCCATAAAAGAGAAGATCTAATTATTATAATAGTAGACTTTAATATCTTATTATCTATATAATAATATATTAGATTCTTTTAAGTATATTTCTGTTTTACTAAATAGACCTAACCTAAGCCTCTTTAGCTCCCAAATATAGCCCCAAGAGATAAAAAGTATATTTGTATTACTCTTTTTTAGCTTTAGTCTTATTTTGCTTTCTTAATAATTATTACTGTTTATAGTATAGGCTAAGCTATTATATATTACCTGTCTTCTAATTAGATATTAAGTTTCCGAATTTATAAGATTAAAGCAGAAGGTCTTATAATAAAGAATTCAGAAGCTAATAATAGGCTTCTAATATATTATTTCTTCTCTAGTTATATATAGATCTTATTTTTTAGGCTTTATTAGTAAGCTATAGAAGTATAGTATTCTTTTAGTACTAATTCGTTTCTTTTTATATCTGAACTAGAACGGCTATAATATATTACTAAAGTAATACTTGTAATACTCTAGTTATATTATAGAGGCTATGAATTTTAATTTATATTTAATTTTTTATAAGACAGATTCTTGGGATATTCTTTAGAAGGGAATTATAATATGAGAAGAAGTCGAGATAATAATAACTAAGTATAATTATTCTATTATAATTATAATAGTTTATTTATTTTCCTAATAAGTTCAAATTCTTTTAAAATATAAGATTTCTATAAAATATAAGTATTTATTATATTTTATAAGCTTAAAACTATTAATAGTTATATTTGGCTTATATTAATTATAAACTAATAATCTTAGTAATAGAGCCAGAATATCTCTTATTTATAATATTTAATTTAGTCTTTTATTTATATATATACTTTATTATCTATAGAATTTCTTTGAGGAATTATATTCTACTTTATTCTATATAGTTTAATATAGTTTATTTAGCTTCCAGAAATAGAATTCCTATATATAAAGTTATAGTAGTAATTCTATTAAATATATATATATAATCTTTAAACCTATACTAAATCTAGCTTCTATTATATTTGGGAGAATAGTAATATATTAAAAGAGACAGATCTAAAAGCAGCCTCTTTTAGCTATAGAGAAATACGAAAAGATTTTCTTTAGCCGGAAAATAAATCAAATAATTTTATTTTAGTTATAATTATAGCTTTAATAAAATTAGTATTTTAGGGCTTTAATCTTAGCAGATTTAGCCGCTCTAATAAAGAGGCTCTAAAGATATAAATATTGAATTACTATAAATTCTTTTTTAATCTTTTTATATTACTTTTCTTTTTATTTATTACTAACTTTACTAATATATAGGTTTAAAGCTATCTAGAAACTAAAAAATAGCTATTCGAAAAATAAGCTTATAAGGCTTAGTAAATATAGCCTTATCTTATATTATATAATTATTTTATATAAAATATTTTTTCGAGCTTAATATATATTAATAAATAATTATAGTCCTTTAATTATTTGCTTTTAAACTAGTTACTATAATTATCTTTTTCATTACTATTTATAGGAAAGCCAGGCCTATAGATAACTAGTTTAATACTATTATACTTAGTAAAACCTTTAATATTATAATTAGTCAAATCTCTCTAATTTCCTCCTATAACTTTTGCCTGGCTAAACTATTATTCTATTTAATTTAGGGCTTAAAGCTTTCTATATAGTATAAATATAAACTAATTTATAAAAGCTCTCTAATATATATATAAATTTAGTAGACTAATAATAATAATATAAGTTTATAACTTATAAATAGACTATAAACTAATCTAATTTTAGTAGAAGTAATTACTTATAGGTTATTTCTTTTATTCTTAAACCCTAAATAAAAGCTTATTTATATCTCAAAATACTATTAAGATTATTAATTATAATAACTAAGAATCTAACTAGAGTTAGTAATTTAATATCTCAGATATTAATACTATATAGGTCTCAAATCAAGATTCTCTTCTAAATAGATTAGGCTCTAGTAATACTAACCAAGAAGGCTCTTTATTCTCAGGCTCGGGCTCGAGCTTGGGCTTAGGCGAACTTTTAAGTATTATAAAAATTACTTTCGGAATTACTATTCCAGTTATAGTTATTATAGCTAGTATATATATCTAGCTCTACTTCTAAAACAAGTATAACCAAGCCCGTAAAAAGAAGTGTTCTCTTTTTATAATATACTAATATAATATAAATCCGAGTACTTGCCTTTTTTATAAAACTATAACTATTCTATTTCTCTAAATAACTAATCTATAGCCTCTTTATATAATATAGAAAACGAAATTTATACTTTAGTTAAAGGAAGATATAAGTTAAACTATAATTATCTATAGTATAATTCCGAGTTTCTAATTCCTAAATAATATTCCGTTTTTGCTTCCGTTTAATAAATTATTATTCCTAACTAATACTCGGAGCTTTTAACCAAAATACCGACCCAAAATCGTACCGAACTAGTATAACTATAATTACTTTACAAGCTTCCTTATAACTAATAGAATTTCTCTTCTCTGCTACTAATATTTAGTAGTTCCTCTAGAGTAGCCGAGAGGAATAACAGAGAGCGAGATATCTATAAGGCTATTACCTTTAGTGACTCGAATAATCCGGATAAGATTATTATATATCTAATAGTATAGTATCTAAAGATATATATAAAGAAAGAATACTTGCGGAAGTTATAGGAGTTAGCTATAGTAAAGGAGGATCTCGAGAGGCAAATTAAGGTAGTAAGATAAAAGAGGACCTAAGGTACTTAAGCTAAATTATAGAGCGGTTTTTTTTCTTCTTCTTCTTTCTTTTAGTAAGTAAGTTAAGGAGTTAAGAAGTTAATATTTAGTTATCTTATTACTTTGCGTTTTGAGATTAGAGTTTATATAATATATAAAAGAGTAATTTGGGTAGTTTTATAATGCTTATTCTATATCTATAATTAATCTACTTATTATAATAATATAGACAAATATTTAAATATATATATTAGTGGCCAAATCTGCTTTTATATCTGATTATATATAGCAGAAAACAGAAAGTATAACTCTCTTAACTAAGGCAATCGTTTCAGGAGGCGTGATATAAACCGAGGTAGTTACTGAGGCTATTAGCGTACGGAAAGCTATAAGGATTAGAAGACCAAGCGATTTTCGAATCTGGTTTTCGACCTTTAATGTCTGATTTGTGGCATATATATACTCAACCAAAAATCGCCTATATATTATGCCCTCTCTTCCTATACCTCTACTTATTATTACTACTTAAAATATTACTCTCTTTTTAATTCTTATTTATATATATACGAGAGAGGAGTGAGAGAGGGTTAGATGGGGATGGGGGTGGGGGAGGGGGAGGAGATAGAGGGCGAGTGAAAAGTGAAAAGTGAAAAGTGAAAGTTAAAAAGTGGAAAGCGAAAAGCGAAAAGCGAAAATCGAAAATCGAAAAGCAAGCTTTAATATATGTGACTTGCGAGGAAAAGGAAGCCCTATAATTATAGGCTACTTATTACTAAATTTTAGGGTTATAATTACTAAATTATAGGCTATAGGTACTAAAAATTTAGTGCTTTGTAATATAAATTTTTAGTAAGGTCCCCTTGCCCTGCCCTCTCCCCCTCCCCCCCTTCTCTCCTCTCTTACCCTTATACTTATAAAAAGAGCGAGAAAAATTAAAGAGAGGAAATATTTGAAGTAATAATAGAGGTACAGGGAGAGGGGGTATAATATATAGGCGTGGGCTATAGGTTTTTGTAATTTTTGATAGGGTGCGTACGTGCCACAAATCAGACATTAAAGGTCGAAAACCAGATTCGAAAATCGCTTGGTCTTCTGATCCTTACGGCTTTCCGTAATTAGCGGGCTAGTCGACAAAACCGAGAAGCGAAAAGTGATTTTCTGATTTTTTGATTTTCGCGCCTCCTCTCTCCTTCCTATTTCTTACTAAAAAAAAAAAGTACAGTATATACGCCTTATTCTCGACTACTCCTAGCCCCCCCTTAGCTTGCGTAATCCGTAAGGCAAATTCCGTGAATTATAAGGCATATCTCTCTTATTCTCTATATCTTTTATATTACCTATATTACTTGAATTATTTATATCTCTTTTATTTTATTTTTTTCTAATATCTTTAAATTTTTTTCTATTATAATCTCCTTTCTTTCTGCCTTCTAATCTTATATTTGTTTTCATACTTGCTTTCTATATTTTATAAATATAGAATAAGGCTTTCTAAATTTAATAAAATTAGTATTAAATTAATAAAAAATATAAATTTTATTATTACTATATTTATAATTTATATAAATACTATTAAATTTGCCTTTTATAATTATATAGTATTTAAAGGGCTTTTTAGTCTTTTTTTATTATTATAAATAATATAAACTTAAAAGAATTTAGTTCTATAAATATATATTAAATTTATTTTTAGATTTATTTTATTTTTCTCTAATTATTTTAGCTTCTTGCTTTAATATAGCTCTATTTTTCTAACTTTAGTTTTATTATTAATTCGCTTTATTATTCTAATAATATTATTTGTTACGATAAGGTGATATTGCAGTGGTGGTAAAGAGCTTGAATTGAGCTAAAGGCTGTGCGCCCGGCTAAAAGCACTGGCTACACGCTAAGTCACGTGCAGTGGCACCACGTGACTGGTGCCACGTAACATTATTAAATAATATAAGAAAATTAAAATATTATTATAAAAAAGAAAAAGAAAAAAAAGGAAATTATATATAAAAAAGAAATCGAGAAATAAAGGAATTTATTAATTAAATATATTAATAAAGAAGAATATTATAAACTAAATCTAAATTATTAAAAAATATATTATAAATATTATTTTTTTATTTATTTCTAGCTTTATTTTTTTATTACTTTTACTTTTACTAAAGCTATTATTTAAAGCTATATTTAATATATTTTTAATAAAAAAAAGCTTTAATAATAATATTATATATTAGAATTAAAATTATTTTAGAATATAAAACTTTATTCGAGAGGTAGGGAACTTTATAATAGATCTTGTATTGAGAATAGCAAAGGGTCGTAATTAGAATAAACCCGTAGCCAGTAAGGGCCCCCGGAGGCCTTGGGAGTTTAATAATTATAGTCTTATTTCCATTTTATAAAACTACTGGCTATCTATCCATTTGCAGGTAGTCTACCTATAGTTTATTATTCTTTTACCTCCCTTATTCTTCCGAATTAATTTTCTTTTAGTATATTTAGAAAGGCGTTTCGTAATATCTTCCGGTAATATATTCTTTGGAAGAGGATAAGTAGTTTGCTAAATCAGTATTAGTACTAGTTATATATATTAATCAAGAAACCACTTCACTTATAATCTCTTCCATAGAAGGAGACCATAATATGTGATTCCTGGATCTATACGTAATATATCGACCATACTTGCAAATAATCAGAGCAATATTAATACTATCGAATTCCCCTAATTCATATGCTTTCTTAATCAAGGTATCCTTTCTCCTGTTTAATCCCTTGTTCTTTCTCTTTCTTCTTTCCCCCTCGTTATTCTGCTTGACGTTTGTAGTATTCATTAATACCAAAAGGTGATCTGCCCAGGTCAGTTTTGATATATTTCGAGTATTAAGCCTGAGGCATTTCAGAGTCGTCTGTTATTCTGGGCCGTGTTTTGTCAGAGACCCTCTGTTTTGATAGTTATCTTTGAGGACTTTCGTATGGTGGCCAACAGGGGCATAGGAGCCGATTTTGAGCACATGGTTATATAGCGAGGGGCTTAAATCGATCCCCTCCAAACCAAAGTAGTGGGGAGCCGCATTTGAACCCTCAATCCTCCAAAATCTTAGCCAAAGAAAGGTCTACAAACCGGCCTCAAACTTGGCCGGCTTCCAAGGCTGGTAGATTTCTACTGGTCTTACAAACACGCCCTTAAAAATTAGCGAGCTCCCAAGGCTGGTAGATTTCTACTGGTCTTACGAAACACGCCTTAAAAATTGGCGAGCTCCCAAGGCTGGTAGATTTCTAGTCTTACGAAAGCTCCACAAGTTTGAAGGGGTGTCTATAAGACCAGTAGAAATCTACTAGCCTTGGGGACTCCTGGTTTGAAGGGCGCCTAGCAAGACCAGTAGAAATCTACTAGCAAGCCTCTACTATAGGAAAAGGAAAATGTTGTCTGGTTCCCTAAATGCCAAGGTGGGGCAAGCGACCACGCAATTACTACATTTCCGTTCCAGACCCGGGAGTCCGCCCCGCCTGTGGAGGAAATCGCGTTCCCAACCTTAGAAGAACCAATCAAGATATATAGAAAAAAATATTATGTTATTTTCTTTGAAACATGATTGGCTGTAGATGCGCCCGACAGAACGCTATTTTCGACTAATAAGCGTTTGCCATTCACTTCCTGTTACTGCTGTATCAAACGCGCGCCTGAACGCCAGTTAAAAGAGAGACCTCGCACGGGAATTAGAAAGGTGGAATTCCTTTCTATTCGCTCATCTGTTTTTCGTTCCTCAAAAGCAATAAGCGGACCGTTCCTATTGCCTTTCGAAAATAGGCAAGTCGCAAACCCGACACTTTCCATTTTCAACTTCTCCGAATTGGCTACCGAAACCCGACTTTTAGTATTTTGGAAATGTTTATTCCAAGCGTTCTTTACAGATTTTCTAGTATTTGATATGTGAGCTGAGAATATTTAAAGTACCGTGTGCCTCACTCTCTGAATCTTCAAAGAATAGTCTCCCTTATTATGGCTGTGAAACTACCCAAAAGAAGAAGCGAAAGGTTGAGCAGACGGAAGTCTACCTTGATTAACAAGGCCCACGAGCTAGCAGAGTTCTGCGATGTTGATATAGCCCTCATCATCCGTAACCGTCAGACTGGTCGTTACTTCACGTACAATTCCGTCGATCTCGAGTCCTGGCCACCGTCCAAAGAGCAAATCGCAAGTCACTAGCCTTAGTTTTGAAGGTTGCAAAGGCGTAACTAACGGGGAGTTAGCAACTGTCATACCCGGTACCGGTGAACCTGCTTCCGCACGATGTGGAAGCGGGGCGTAGAAATCTCAAGCATCGTGCTAACGTGCGTCCCTGCGTCGAGAGACACACCCGTGCAGAGACAGACTATTGGTAAGTTAGTCCAAACTCAAAACAGGATGGGAAGATGTAACTTAAGATGAAGATCGCGATGTTACTCCACATGCAAGGTGTCGCCACTTTCGAAGGTAGGTAGAAACCAGCCAGCACAAGGAAGAGGCGTTTGACTTGCAGAGTTGATGTGACTGCGCTTGGATTTGATATTATGTATAATAATGTAACGCAGCCAGTAACTAAATGCCATTTATGCCCGCCTCGACGTCTCCAAGTACGTAAACAGCTGGTGGAGGAGCTAATGAGGCAGTGGAGTTCTGATTCATGGACTGATCGGCCATGATGTTGAAGGATCTAATGGACAACCCTGTCTGGCTAGCAAGTCCGAAAACCGATTTGAGGTACTCCTTTTGCCATAGAAGCACCGGGAACCTAACCGTAACGGCACCAGAAGCAGGGAAAATGATCTTCACATAATGTTAGCACTGTCCCATTCCAGTAGCGGCTCTAACTCACCCAGAGGACCAGATCCGCAGAAATCACTTGCGCCCAAGCCATGCGCAGAAGAACGGCGGCAAGAATAAGTATTAAACCGCAAACGAAAGCATTGGATAGAAACATCCATATAAGGAACCAATTCCTCTTGGCTTTTGTCTTCCAGGCTCGATAAGCACAATATAAATGTCCTATCAACAAGCCAGTGTATACTCCGCATATTGCAAAAAGTAAGGGCTTCAAAATCTGCGAGAGCTCATTGGGCTTTACCCCTACCCTGCGGAAAATTTTCAGTTTTGATCAACAATTTAGAGACTGACTTGATCATACCAGATACAAAGTCCAACGATTAAGAGAAACATTAGAATTATTGTTCCAATGCAAACCCTGTGGGCACTCTCATGCGATCATCGCTCCAACTTAACGCTCTACGGGTGGTTTTCTCCTGGTTGTGTAGAGATCAATTAGTCACAATCCTAGATTAAAATTAGTGACGTCCCAAATAGACTGTACCCAATTTCCCGCCGAAGATTCTCCCCCTCATCTGATAGATCGAAAATGTTGCAATCATCGCTAAAGAAATGTGCAACCCCGAGCCGGGTATAAGCTCCTGGATATTTGCTTAATGATGGCGTGATGAGAAGGCCGACAACCCGCCGCATTGGCCCATTGTCCCCACATATAGGCATACAAGCCAGTTCAATTCCTGTGTCCGGAGGCACGTCTGGGTGCCAAAGATACTCCTTGTCCTCTTTTGTCGTGGACAGCCAGCAAGCGCCAGATCTTTGGCTGGTTCCTAAGAGCCTAAGAAGTCTACTCTTCATCTTTATAAAGCCGTTAGAAACCTGGCCAAAATAGTCATCCTCCACCAAAGGGGTAATTCCTACTTCTTCGATGGCCACGAATTCTACATCAGCAACTCCCCCCATTCCACCCAAAGGTTCAATCATGCCCTCAACCGATGCCCAGGACCAAGTCGGTGCTCGATACTGCGGGGGGCGAGAGGAAGTTGTTCCGTCTGACTGTATGCAGTTTGACACTTCCCATACAAGCGAGGTAGGTAACGTACTCCGCCATAACCCAGCCAAATAGTCGTCATTTACTAATTTGGAGATACGCTTGGCAAGCCCGCTGATAGCCACAAGCTTATCCTCCATTTTGGTGAGACCGCAAGTCATATAATTATCAACAATAAAATACCACATAAGGTACGGGTATTGCGAAGGCGGCAGGTAGTTCCCTGATGACGAATTAAACCGTAATCTCTCTTCGATGGCCGATGGCTCTATGCATCTAGACAGAGCCGCATCACCACAAGCAGTCAAGGGGAGATGTTCCGGAAACATTTCACAGCCTTGTGTTTTGCGGCATTCCCAAAACAGCTGTGTATCGGAGAAGGATAGAATGCGGGTTGGAAGAATTCGCTCTTGCAAGACCCATGCACGCTTGTTAAGAGGTAGATCATCTAAAGAGCCTAAGAGATTGCTGGGATAAATAAAGCAGCGCTTTTTGCCGTGTTCCTCGACCGTAAGGTCCACAAACCATGGCCAGTCCGGGATTGGTGGCCGGGATCGAAAGAGGCCGCTGTGGCAGTTTTCGGAAGCCGTAGCAGAAATATTGAGATGAGTATGGGAGTAGACTTTCTCCATTAACAAGGATTCCTTTCTCCAGTCTCCGATGGAATCTTGTATGATGCAGAGCGAATCTATCCACAAGTGCCGAATATTTAGGCGTCTCGTTATCTCCACTGCTTCTGCGAAAGTCCTCGGCAGACTGTTTATAGCGACTCCATTGTGGAAAGACTCTAGATTGCCTGAGATAAGCTTAAGCACATGTTCACCTCCCCATCGATGACTGAGGGTCAGGTAAGGTCCTTGTGGCTCCGAGAATGAAGTAGTGTGGAGCTTTATTAGAGAGTCTGAGTTAATACCAACGTCGAGGAGTCGGGTTGGGTACCAGGGGGTTTCGTCCTTGATGTGATTGAGCTTGCACTGTTTACAGTGTGTCAAATGAATAGATTAGATTAGAATACTGGCTAGTAATCTAATTTATTCATCAAAAATACCCACTAATTATATTCTAATCAGATTCTAATTGAGGTAATCATGAATATTCATGAATACTTTGATTACTATACACGTGACTGTTTCACGTGATATACTAACCTAATTAGGTATGGCTCCCGATCTAGCATCGTCTTTGCAAGGCTTTCGACCCACTAATTAGGCAGCGAGGTGGCGCTAAGGAGACACTAGAGCGGGATCTCTACTTAATTAGGCTAGCGTATCACGTGCCATGGTCACGTGTAGAGTAATCAAAGTATTCATGAATATTCATGAATATTCATGATTATATATTCTAATCTAATCAAATTATTTAAGCATTGCGGTAATTATATTCTATTCAAGCTAATCATGAATATTCATGAATATTCGGAATACCTTGATTACTTTTTTGACACACTGACTGTTTATGATTCTCCGTACAGCCACGGTACCATGATAGCACCTGGGCCCAGCAGCTTTCCGATCCCGTGAAGCCAGCCTGTACCGGAGCAGCTAAAGCTCGAATTTCTGTGATTGAATTTTGATTAGCTTGCGTTGAGGTAGGGGACGGTTCTCACTAGTGGACTCTAGGAAAATAGATGGTGGTGAGGGACAAGCCAAAAACTAAACAAATACTTACCTTCCCTGGAATCAACGCAAAATGCCGTACATGTTTGGCCTTCCCTGTGGGGCGGAATCTCAAAATCTGTGTTGACGTGGACCGCCAGTTTGCTGACTCCCACCAGATCGTGTTTTTCGTACGTACACCAGGTGTTAATAAACCCGCCGTCTTTGTCCCGCGATGGGAATACAAGATTCTCGTCACATCCCAAATGCCGCAATGTCTTTATAACCGCTCGGCAGATACAACATCCGCCAGTTGCAGAATTAAGCAAATCGCCTGCCATCGAGTGGTGTTCCAAAAATCTACCGCTCTCCTGTTTATGTGGCCTTTTACTCAAAATGGACGCACATTTGACACAGAGCTTTATTTGAGCCATCACTATCTGATCGCGTGATTTGGCTGCGTCATCGATTCAGAGACACAGACAGTCATGGCCTCACACAGGAGCGCAAGAGGACACGGCCTAGAGATCACCCAACTAGTTAGGTAGTAGGAGGACTGCGAAGCTAAAGAGGAATGAAAAGAGAGGAGGTCAGGAGGCTGAGGAGGGCTAGCTTGTTGCGCACAGACCACAAAATGAGTGTTGAACTAGCTAAAGCAATATAGCTAGGGTCACGTACTTGCAATGTAAACCAAGTAAAATGTACTGAATTGACTGCTGTTCTACAGTGGTAAGTAGCCCGTATATATAGCCCTGAACCCCCTAAGTCACATGTACTAAATCCCTATGCCAGCTGAACCGATTACAGCTATACAGGGTATTCCAGCCGTACAACAGGGTATTCCAGCTGTACAGGGTATTCCAGCCGTACAGGGTATTCCAGCTGTACAGGGTATTCCAGCTATACAGGGTATTCCAGCTGGACAGGGTATTAAGCTAGTGCACAGCCCCATGGCGTTCGGTTCCAGGGCTTACTAAGCCTATTAGGGGCTGAGGCCCCTAATTTCAACAATGAGCTATCACCACGTGCATCCACGTGACGGGGCCGTAGAGCGCTCTCGTGACCTAGACCTCTAAGGTGCTAGATAATATGATCGATTCTTCCAAAAACATCACAAACAGCGAGAACGGAATTTTTGGAATTGAGAATGAAAACCTGGTGAGCCGCAAGACCTCTGGCGAAGCTCTGCAGCTGAGATTGAAGAAGAAACATCGTCACTCTTCTGCCTTTCCAAATGGCGAGTTTCTTTCTCATCTTGTCTTCGTGATAACATGAAGTCCATTCTTGGTTGCAATCTTTAGATACAAAGTCAAATAAGAAATGGTTGCAAATTTGGTGCCCCATAAACACTTTTTTATCCCGTACCACAGCAATACTCTGTACCTTTCAGCATCGGAACGACTTTCCAATGGGGTACTCAGAAGTACGCCTCCTAAGTATAAAAAGTCAGTGCAAGAGTCGACGCTGGTAATGAAGCCACATATTCAGCCATGCAGGGGATATGCAAGTTTCCACATTGGTTGATGAGATGAAAATCACAACACGTATGATTCATTCTTGGATATGATATCTTTTTGCGATTTGCAACAAAAGAAATTGAATTTCTCACTTACAGTAGCGAGACACATTCTGTACGCGTAGGAGGCGTACTTTTGAGAACAAGCGATCGCGATCGCATCAGACCACTTCCACCTGTGCGATGTACAACAAAACTTGAAATGTCTTGGTGAAAGATGTTTGATTGGAAGAGCAAAGTGTCGATGAGGATCTCCTGCAATTTTGCGATATGCAACAAATAAGAAGCCTTACCATCGAAGCCACAAGCCACACAAAGTTACTTCAGTACATGCCAGCTACCCGGATCCAACAATTTTCACGGTATGCAACAAAAGAGCCTTCTCAAAGCGTGGCATACACTACACGTGACTTCGCTCTCTTGCCCCAAGGAATTAGTTGCTGGTCGATACCCCCGTTGAGGCTTCTTTGTGAGAGAGAGTCGGCGAGGGCGATGGTGACTGCGAATATGGAGCGCGCCACGAATTCGGACACCCACTGGTGCACTGTCCGGTGCAAAGCGGTGGCAGCGCAACGGATACGCTACCATTATTCATTTTCGAGTGTAGGTATTTGCAATGCCCTGTCGACGCTAAATTTGCGATAACCTGTTGACGCTCGTTTTGCAATGCCCTGTCGGTGAGATCCGCCAACACAACAAAGCCGTTTCTGCTACAGTCACAACCAACTGATATTAGACAGATCGCGAAACCCCACCAAAAATCGCCACTTTGCCTACTTTGCGGTGAAATATCACAACGCCCACAATGCGTGAACCGATCTAACAAATTGGAATCGAAATACACAGTACAAGATCTAGCTTTTATACGATTCCAGGTAAGCTGAAAATAAGAGGTTCCTTTTTAGTCTACTCGTGTATTGCAACGACCGGAATTCAGCTCAAAATTAAGCGAATTTTGGTGTAAAAGTGGGGTAAGGCAAAAACGTCGCAGTTTACGGCCGCCCAACTTTACGACCATACGTTCCTGGAATTACCGTAATTGATAAAATTAAGCGCAATAATCCAATTAAGAGCTGTACTCAGACATTTTTACTGTAAAAGGGTCGGAATGTGGTTAGTTGCGAAAGTGTTATACCCGAGTTTTGGTGTAAAAAGGGGTTTTGTCTAATATCAGTTGGCTAGTACTGTAGCCCCACCATTCAACAAGAGCCAATTCTGCTGCCACACTTTTACATTCCTCGAACAAGCAGCCAGTTCTGCTGCCACACCATTTCAACAACGAGCCAATTCTGCTGCCACACTTTTACATCCGTCGAACAAGCAACCGTTTCTGCTGCCATCATCTTTTCTAACAAGCTGCCAGCTTTTGCCATTACACCTTTGCATCACTCGCTTCTTTCGGTGTTAGCTGGTCGTTAGCTTCGAGTTGTTTACCTAGTATCTGTGTCGACTCGCTTTCCAACCTTCTCCGAAGCCATTTTTGTTGACCTTTGCTTCGTAAAGCCGGTGTGGCTTGGCCGCTGACCACCAGAGGGGCTCAAAATGGGCTCCACATTAAATATAGCCCTATCACCATCGCCCTCGCTGATATCACAAATCTGCCTCTAATTTTAGATTTTTGCTCCAATTCTGACACCCTGGTTTGAGCTTTCTTATTTCATTTTTGGTCTCTCAATTGGTTAGATTTTAGCTCAATTTCAGTGGTCTTTCGAGCCATTTTGTAATCCAGGCGCTGCCTCCCAATTCTGGACGTGGCTGTAAAATCCTCTTCTGGCTGCTAAGCGAGAACCACCAGGTGCCAACCTCCACAAACCGCATCCAACCTCTCCACAATCGGCATTCAGCCTCATCCACAATAGACTTATTTTGAATGAAGTCACTGGTCTGTAATTGCCCATCTGCCTGTTTGCTAATGGGGATTCGAGCCCTAACTCGCTGTTGATGGCTTTAACACGTGATTTAGAGAAAAGCGGGGTCAAATCAGAAACAGTTAGAGTTCTATTAGTGCTAAGTCTAAAATGCTCTAGTACAATCCCGATTAAAACCAATCAGATTGCAAATTAACGAAGGAAAGGCAAATTAATAAAAAGAGGATAACAAGCAAGTGCTAGGGGCCATGTACCGAGTAAGGAAAGCTTCCAGGCCTAGAAAGTAGAACTAATCAAAGGGAAAGAACAACGGCTACAAGCTGAGCGCATCTTGAATAGTTTTGAACGCAGCCATCAATTTTGTCAGCTCTGCAGGATCTGCACCTAGCTTCACATTATGCTTCTTTTCATACCAAGCAGTAAAAGAAAGATGCAAATCCGTATATATTAGGGAGCACCTGCTATTTCTAGAAAGTCTTCAAGACTGTGGTCACGAAACTTGATAACCGTCAGCTCAGGTTACAAGGAACCAGTCAGCTACAGCTCCAAGATGACTGCTATAACACTGTTCGGAATGGTCAAGGGCTGACATGTGTCAGCTGCTTGAAAGCTGTGAGCTTAATCTTAGCAGCCGATCAAAGCTGTTTGATGCTCAATGCTGACTTTAGCTATGCCTGGTCATCAAGCGATTAATAGTAGAGCGAGAGTATGATGTTCTTGCTCAACCGTGACAGTATTAAAGGGCTTTGCAATACTTCCCACGGTATTAAAGGGAATATTACCATTTTGTATTTATTGCGAGTCTTCGAGCCCGAGAGACTAGCAAGGAAGGGTTATAGGCCATTGAATCTACGGTTCTCTTAACGTTCTTTTCACTAGGTCAAGTATAATAACAAAGTTATTAAAGGGTTACGATATTAGGGGGACTATTTGACTATATATATCGAGCCAAAAAAAAATCCCCA